GCGTTTAATTAATGGAGAAGAGAAAAGAAAATGTATAAATATTTGTGGCTTGAATTGTGAATTGAATTGTGACTCAAGTAAAAACGTTGTCGATTTTAGATAACGCTTTGACGAACGTGTGATATATTGGACCTTGGAAAATTAGAAATTGTGTTCTAGAAAGGAACAAATGTGTGAAAGAAAAAAAAAAAAGTTCCGACGATCCTATAAATTACACGATAGATATGGGCCTAAGGAGTGATAATTTAACAAAATAACGATAAAAACTGAAATGAAACTGAAAATATCGATCGTTCGAAGATTACCAACTAAAATTATCGCTTATCTCTCCAAAAATGTAATAAATTAACAATGATAAAAAGGGAATATATTGTAACATAACACGATACAATATAATATAGTTTCGCGAATCAAATATGGCAGCGAAGAAAAGTGCATTCGACTCTTACGTTGCAAAACTTATCGATATAATTTACAACGACTCGAATTAAAATAGATTGGGCAGTGATAAATAAAAACATATACGGATCTAGCTATAGAATATATTTAATTATACGTGACCTGTACCAACAAATACCAACTATGAAATAACGATGTTGCTTGCAACGTTCAATAATAAAACCACATATAAAATTTCAATGAACTTTAAATTCTACATAAAATTAGATAATTTCGAAAACGCTTCCTCGTAAATTTAAACCAACGATCCATCATTTTATCGATTAATTCTCTCCCTATATACTATACTATATGTACTATACCATTTCAATCTCGTAAACATTTTCAAGAAAAAAATTTAAAACTCGTCGAAACAATTATTTCTTTCATTTAAATATTCGAAAATGAATCTTCTCCAGTTCATTCGAACCACTGTGTGACGTCACGAAGGAAGAACTCGCGTGCACCAACTCCTCTTCCCCTCCCTAAAAACAGACCATAACCCCTCGACTCCCATTCAGATTCTTGGACGAGAATACCCCTTTCTCTTAGGATCGCGGAAATAAATCGAAAACTTTTGCGAAGAAAGGAAGAATTGAGGAGGAGGAGTAAGAGTAGCGTCGCTTATTTTTCCCCTCCATGGACGAAAATCCGACCGGGTTAAGCAGGCGGGGAAGGGGGATTATTAATATACAGGACGGTAGGGCGAACAGCGTCGGAACAAACAAGGCAAACGGAATTAGCTCGGAATATTTGAACGAGGGGGGGAAGAAGGATCGGTGTGCGTGGCGAGGCGAAACGTCGTCGCCGCCGCTTTGATGGTGTTGCCGAGACGGTGAGTGGCTGGCAACTCGGTGCAAAGGGAGATACTCGAGGATACCCCTCCCCTCCTCTGCAGCGTATCCATACCGCTAATCTCGGTCGCCCAGGACTCCTCTGGCGAAGAGGACCTACCCCTCGAGAGAAGGATTTCGAGAAGTTTAAAAAAAAAAAGGAGAAGAAAGGGAAAAACTTGAATTAATCGAGGACGCTCGAGTCGTCGATCGCGTTCTCTGACGAAACATCGCATCGTTGCGAGTCATCTTTGGGAATCCTTTGAAATCGATCGAGCCCTCTCTTTCTTTTCTTTTCCTTTCTAGAAAAATTTATCGTCGCTTTAGCCGACCCGTTCCCTCGGGTATCGTGTAATTCTCGCGCGTAGGAGAGGAGAGAGAAAGAGAGAGAGGAAGAGTTTAGAACGTCCAATAAACAATGAATGGGAGAACAATTTTTGGGGGAACACGAAAGTCGTACGTTCGAAGATGTACTTTATACCCGATGCCTCGTTAATGTAAATTATTGGAGGTGTGTGTATACACGCACCGGGATCGAATCCAATCTACACGGAGGAGGAGGAGGAGGAGGAGGAAAGCTAGCTCGAGCAGTCAGAAAGAGGTAACGCGACGCGATTTATTTCCACGGAGATAAAGTTTCGATGGAACGGAGGAGAACGAGATCGAGGACTCGTTGCCTCGTTCCACGGAATATTTAAATCATTTCCTATCCCGGGAACAAGGAGAAGAAGGATATTCAAATGCGCACCCGGTCGAGCTACATTTTCGTCCGTCGAGTTTTCGGTTTCGTTTGACTTTCGAGAAGAGGGTTCCCCCGTCCCCGGAACGGGAACTAGCGGCGAAACTAACGGTAC